AGTTACCGTTGAAAAGTACTAAACCTGAACTGTCCTATCTCTATTTTTAAGAAATGAAACTAAATGTAGAGTATGCTCGTTTGTGCTACTGCCGGAAATGTTTCAAGTATTATTCTGATAATTAAACATTGAAATTTGTAGATATCGTTAGTTTAAATTCTTTCAACTCTTTGAACTTTTGTTTTTTTTGTCGAGTATAACTTTTTTACGTGTTTTAGTCTCAGCAGTCAGAGTCATTATTCAAGATTGTTGGTTACTAAGACGGTAATAATTTGGTGAACATTTCATTTTTTTAAGTATACCATTATACATCGAACATAATCATGTGATTTTTCCTTTTAATTATTTGTCATCATCAAGGATGTATGCTCTCATCATACAATACCTGTAGTGTCATTGTGTTTTTGTCAAGGAGAAGAGCTAATTAATATACTCGTTTTTAACAGAAGATACTGTGCCAATCTGAGAAAAAAAATGTTTTTCTTCTGTCATACTTCCGTCTTATTTTCGAGAGATAATTTCAGAAAGAGAAAAGAAAAAAAATTAGTATTCTGAATCTATAACAGTCACCAGAGAGCACTTTTATTTTATAGCGTGTGTTGTTTCAACCATATTTAGACATTATAAAATCTGATTACAAATTTAATATCGCGACTCTGATTGCCACTGGCACAATAGTTCTATGAGAAATCAATCAATTGAGTCTAATTGTCTTTATATCTATCTCTACGTTCTTATCTCGAGCAAACTCTTCTCGTTAAGTTCTCTGGATAGAAAGCTGCATAGGCTTAGGATATATCGTTCATTGTAACTAACATCAGGAAATTGGAACTAAGCATGTTGGTAAGCACAAATAAGAAGTTTTAAAGATTTCTATTTTGAATTACATAATATCTTTTATGAACAAGAGAAGAATCCCACTCGACCACGTGACTCTCTGAAGATGTTAATTTTTGGAATAATTTCAGGTGGTGCCACATAATTGTGTGACTTACAATTACTTCTCACATAAACTACAGTAGGGCAGTGGGAACCATATCCCAATTGAGATATAAAAATGTATCCCAATTGGGATATTTTTTTGATATCTCGATCGGGCTATATTCCTATGGCCCGATCGGGATATCTGCTGTTTTGTATATCCCAATCAGAATATAGTTTTCTTACAGTAGGGCCGTAGTTTAAAACCGCCCAAAACTAGTTAATGTAGTGCCTGTAGTACAAAGGCGATATAGAACATAATATATCAGCCGCCAGAACTTGAGCGATGAAAACACTTCAGTATTTTTAAAACTTTAAACTTTTGAAAGCAATTTACGCATCTGAAATCTTGTTTTGTAAACAATGTTGTTTACTTCGCTGCACGGACGACGAATCACGGTGGACGAGCGTGACTTTAACTGAACATTTCACTGGATGTCGCTGCCTTATGTATAGCCAGAGTAAGATAAAATGTCAAAATACTTCGAGAAAGTGTTAAGATTGGGATATTGAATATGAAGCTCGAGAATTATTTAAAAAAGGTTGCTTACCAAAAAAAAAGACCTGGTCACAAGGAAACAAGAATCTGATGCTGTCTTTTAAGCTCGTTTCGGCGGTATGGTCAAAACTTTCCGCGAACATCCTCATTTTTTCGCTAATGAATTTTACTTAAAAACATCGAATTTATATTCCGATTGGGATATGTTCTTTGGCTATATCCTGATCGGGATATATTTTGGTTCAAAACGGGATATAGAGCATGATACTCTACTGTAGGGGTTAACCAAAGTTTTTTTGATAATCCTTTTTTATGTGAATAATTCGATTTTTATACTTCGAAGCTTTAATTTTACCCTTCTCACTAGAACATCTCGGTCATATGTAATAACACAATTTTTAATACATTCTTGGCCGGAAATGACTTCTATTTCTTGATTTAAGCACAGTTAAACATTAAATCACACAGTGAGTAGAAAAAGTAACCTAGTTGTTTAAAATACTTTTGTCAAAAACGACTTTATTTTAGTTAGATTTGACTCTGTGTTGCCCAGATGTCTGGTATGACTACAAAAGTGACAAGAATGTTTTCAAGCGCAATCAGCGCAATCCCAGAGGGTTACTTTACCCATTTACTTGACCGCAAAAACTTTGCACGTAAACATTTACTTTACTAAAAAGTGTTTCTGATAAGAAAAACTGGATTATTTCTGTAAAATCACCGTTTTTGCGAAACGTGTACTAAATACCACAAAAGTACATAATTATGAAAGACAGAGAATCATTGATACTTTACCATAGAGAGAAATTTAACATTTGCCATATGTTGCCTTACACTAAAAAAGCAGTAGTAAAAGCTAGCAGAAGGGGGTGTAAGACTACACAAGCAGAAAATCTGATATATCTAGTATACGATGTGCATGAGGTTAGCAAAGTTTTTACGCAATAAGAGATTTTTTATACTAATGTCGACCATGCTCCGTAATCTTGAAAACATACCGCAGTGGACACACTTGATTTCTTGAATAAGTAGTTGGACAGATTGTTGAAAAAACTGGCAAGTATATTCAAAATCCTTCGTTTTCCATGTACTTTTGATAGCACGTAGCTAGTAAGGAGTTTAGTAATCATCGCTTTGCTTTCCAAAATTTATTTACTTTGTGAATTTATTCCATGGACTGTAAGTCTATGGTCACATAAAATAAAGTGTTTGTGTGTGTGTTTGTCCATACAGAGGTGTGACGGACGTACATACATATAGTGACCAGTGAGTGTGACGGACGTATATACGCAGAATCACTAATGGGTCTTATGGACATAAATTCACATGAGTAGATGTGTTCGGGTTTTCTGTAGAGTCAGAGAAGTGTAACGCTTATCCTGGGTGCGAGCGCGGACCGAAGGGACGCGTGAGCATTGTCTGGAATTTAGAAATATTTTTAGACCTCTGGGATTCTTTGGGGGATCTCGAGAAAATTTTTGTAGATTTAAACTGCATTACGAAGCTGACACATTAAATCAGAGAAATATTTGATAAGGCATTGTAGTTAGTCCCTAAGAAACACCGACCGAAGGAGGTTTAAGAGTTGTTTTCAAGAACGAGTTTAGAGAGTCCTAGATAAAATCAAATCAAATTACGGAGACTCGATGAACTACACGAATTAAGTAAATAACGCTATGACTCTGTTAAATTATTGAGAGTCCATTGAACTCATGCTGAGTTGACTTCTATTCCAGAATTGGTTCAAAACACGTACTCATTCTGATAAGTTTCGGATTGGTGAAATGCTATAGCAATTGCTTCTGTAAACTGAGGTAGAAAACATGGACGTTGTCATCGCAAAAAATATGCATCAATTCTGTAGATCGAGTTATAACAGAATGAATAATAATTCCGACAGCACATTCATTCGACTTACAGGCAATAGACCTAGTGAATCGATGGGATTCACGTAATTTATTTTTCCATGCACAAAAATGATAGTTTACAATAGTCTCGTCTGTAACATTGAGATAATCCAACATAAAATAAAGTACTAGCAAAATATGACAAGACATATTGTCCTCGGGAAAGTCTCATTTTAATGAGAAAAATATTGTCAAGGATATTTATACGTTCTGGAGATCGATATGTCTTGGCATTCAAAAGTTATGGATAAAATACGAAAGTGTCCAAAAAATGCTGTAAAAAGCGCCATATTACAAATGCGCTTCGAAAAATTGAACGGACTCAGCCGGCGTTATTTGTTAACGTATGAACTTGAGTAAGGCATCATTTTGTAGAGAAAATTATACTCTACAAATTTAAGCTAGTTTGGAATTTTATTCTATTGTTTTGAATATTTATACTTTGAAAATTTAAAAATTGGCGCCCATTTTAATGTCTATTCAAGAAAGATTTTCAAATAATATTAATTTTTGACTGAAAAACAGTTCGATCCACACAGTTTTGTGTAATTTTTTACGCTCTTTCGGATGACGTAGTTGAAATTAATTTTTTCTCCACATTTTGTAAAGAAATTTTGTTTTTTCCGAGATTTGGAAAAAAATTTTGCTCTCTTTTCAAAAAACTTAAAATTTCAAACCAAAGACAATAGATATTTGAAAAATCTTTTTTACGAAAATGGAGAACATCAAATTTTTTATCAATGGTGTGTAAGTCAAGTTTTCTAAACTAACATAAAATAAGAAAAAGTTAAAAATAAAGAAAAGTATGCTAAACTTTTGACGTACGGGAAAAAAATATTTTATTTCCTGAAGTCTCAGTGCTTGTTTGTAACCGCATATTTTATATGGTTATGATAGATAGCCTAGGATACCGGCTGTTCATAGCACACTTTGAAACTTTTTGAAAGTCTTTCGTTTCGGTAAAAAATAGGAAATAAAAATAGTGTTAAAGTTTTGAGCGACACTTTATATCAACTTTAAAACAATGATAAGTACTTGACGGCTTGGTCAGCTGGAATTCCGTGACACATTTTTGGCATTTTATTTCTCTTAAAATTTTCAAAGCATTGGAGGTCCAGAAGTCTGAAATATCTCAGATTAAAGACTCTCAGAAACACCCTACTTCTTAAATGCTCCGAAAAAGTAGATGTTTACATTTTCGTCATACTTTTTGAACAAAACAACGTGTAGACTGTGAAAATATCTCAAAATCGTTAGAATACTTTTCTCTTTAATCTGAAATGTTTTAGACCTCTGGGCTTCTCTTGCTTCGAACATTATAACAGAAACAAAGTGCCAAAAAAACCATCACAGCATTTCACTTCGGTAGCTGAGCAAACCATTGAATCATTTGAAAAGTGTCACATAAATACTTAAACAGTACCTGTCAAGTGAAAAGTCAAATATTTGCAAGTTTATTCATTCGTGCAAAAAAAATAAAAAGATCAATACGGTGTTTATTACGTAAATGAAGTACTTTGACGCAAGAAGATTCACTAAAAAATTTTATCCAAAGAAATTTCATTTTTTCTTATTTTATTTCAGTATTAGAAAATAATTAGAGATCATTTAATATGAATACGTTAACTACAATAACAAGCGTGTCTCTTAAACACGTTAAAGAAAAAGATATATTTGAAACTGTTCAACATATAATTGGATTTTATTTAATTCCAATTATTTGTCTACCAGGTCTCATTGGTAATATTCTATGTATTTGTGTATTTTTATCGGATACAATGAAACGTTTTTCTACAACAAAATTTTTACTCTATTTGGCTATATCTGATACATTTAAATTATCAAATGATTTACTTTATTCATTGGTATTAATTATACAGTCAATTAATACAGAATTTGGTCAAGAATTATTTCATATGCTCTATCGATATTGTCATTATGTTAATCAAGTAGTTACTCTGTGTACAGCATATCTTACATTAATATTAGCCATTGAGAGGTAAGAACGTGTTGTGTACTGTTTTGGTTTCCGATAATAATTTTATTTCTTATTTAACGAATTGGGCAGAGAAAAATGATACGACTTTGCAATTCATTCCTTGGCTGCTCATATCAACTTTCAAAATTTCGTTCTGAGAGCTTAAAACACGAGAATTTCCGCTAGTTTGTAGTGCGGTGTTTGAATTAAGATGTACCTTAAGGGTACTCCACCCCTCATTTTGGGCTTTCAGTAAAAATGCTGTGAAATAAAAACTAAAACTCACGAGGGAACCTATCCAACTGTCGGACGCCATTTGACTCCATATTTTGGCTATAAGTAGGACTCAGTGAGACTAAGAAAATCCTAAAAGGGTTCGGGCCCATGACTCTTGAAGACCCCGTCTTCCGGAAAATTTTCAAGAACTCTAAAAGATAACTAAACCCTTCTTTTAATGAAATATAATTGTAGCCCGCAAATTTCTGATTAAAATGAGACGTCTTCCAGCTCTACACGACCTTTCTTTGCAAAGTTATAGAATTTACAAGAAAAGCCGTAAATGTTGATTGTCAGCTCGAAGCGAC